AAGGAAGGAAGGAAGGAAGGAAGGAAGGAAGGAAGGAAGGAAGGAAGAAGGAAGGAAGGGAATGAAGAAAGGAAGGAAGGAAGGAAGGAAAGAAAGAAAGAAAGAAAGAAAGAAAGAAAGAAAGAAAGAAAGAAAGAGAAAAGAAGTTGTTCTACTTGGTAGTCCCTGAGGTAAACTGATGCATGCCTTCCTTGCTGGGGAGCACCTGGAGCTGCCCCCCACCCAGGCTACAGCAGGCAGAGAGGTCCCTAGAGCAGGGGTTGACACCTTGCACAACAGTAGATGCTCACCTCTTCAGTCTCACCATTCAGGGGCAGAAAGAGGGCAATAAAGAAGGCTGACATTCCCACCTTGCTTCTTCCTAGAGCAGTGGTTCTCAACCTTCCTGACACTGCATCCCTTCAGTGCCGCTTCTATGTCGTGCTGACCCCAACCACAAAATTATTTTCACCGCTACTTTACAGCTGTAGTTTTGTTCTATTATGAATTGTGATGTGAATATCTGACACGCAGAATATCTGACATGAGACCCCTGTGAAAGGGTCATCCACCCCCAAAGGGGTCTCAGCCCACAGGTGGACAGCTGCTGTCCTGGAGAGAGCACTGGGGATTTCCTGTCTGTGGAATTCTGACTGTAATTTAAGTTGGCTCCATGATTTGCATGCCAACTTAAATTACAATACTAATGCTGACGGCAAATATTTGGGAATGCAGACACCTGTGTGTCATAGTCAACTGCGTTCTTACTCAGAGGAATGTTCGGAGATGTTTTAAAGACAAACGGAAGGGGAAACAACAATCCTGAACTGCAGCGGTATCAGTGTGAGGCTGAAGAGAAAGTCGCTGGGCTGTCCTCGAACCCCCGGGAGTCGTGGCCTCCGCAGGTCTAGAACAGGTTCCATCAGGTGATGATGCAGGGGGCTGCCCTTTATCACTCTCATCCCTGGGTGTCTGTGGTGTTAGCTTATATGAGAACTCCATTTTGATTCTGAGAATGTCCATACTTCCACAAGGAACTTTGTCCTCCATAGGAATACTATATAAGGCTTGTCCATTTTTTCTTTTATTATTATGTGTATGGTGTTTTATTTGCATGTGTGTCTGCACCACATTGTGTAGTGCCAAAGAAGGCCAAAAGAGGCCATAGGATTTCCTGGAACTGGAGTTACAGATGGTTATGAGCCATTCTATGGGTGCTGAGAATCAACCCAGATCCCGGGCAGGAACAGATAATGCCCTAAACCACTGAACCATCTCACCAATCCTTGCCTATTTTTTTCAGTGACTATCACTCAATATCAAAAACTGGCTCTTCTTCTTTTTCTTCTTCTTCTTCTTCTTCTTCTTCTTCTTCTTCTTCTTCTTCTTCTTCTTCTTCTTCTTCTTCTTCTTC